ATCCCATCCTCACCAACATTCATTATTTGCTAGATTGTTTTAAAATAGTAGCCACCCTAACGGCTTTGAGGTTATATATTTTGCAATATTGTTTAGTCTCCTGACCACATTCTTTGCAGAGTCTCTGACAGCTTTTTGTTCTCATCTATGTCCCCCTGCAGTGGGGAGGGGGAAGCCTCTCAATCCAACAGCAGCCACCTGGAAGGATGGTCTTCCCATCTTCCATCTCTCGGAGTACCTTTGCTCTGCCTTGGTGCCTCAGGGGTCTCCAAGGCTCTTTCAGGGTACCCAGTGTGGGGGTGGGGTCCACAAGGTCAATATTATTTTCACTCTCCTCTCATGAGTAGACAGTGGAGTTCTCTAGAGGACCCATGTCATTTGACATCAAAAGATTGCATGCAGAATTACATGTGAGACTCCTTCTCTGAAGTGCACCGTAAAGGTGACTCAGAAGAATGCTCTTCTGGAGGGGGTGAAGGGAATTTTCTTCTCTTTCCTTGCCCCCAGCAAGTTTTGAAAATTTGAGTCTATAAAACAATGGAATAGGTGTGCAAATTGATTAACATGCACAGGTGCACAGGAGCCACACGAAACAGGAGAGGGCAAGAAGGGCCATACAGCTCAAGTACTTACACCATACAGAGGAGCGTGGGGCCCCAGAGTGGAGGTAGTGACGTGGAAAGAGGGGAGGAGACACGTGGTTGTCTTGCTGTGCACGTGAAGTCTCTCAGGCGACAGCCTGCAGACAGAATAGACAGTAGCCTGTGGAAACGCTGTCTCTGTCAGAGCTCCCGCTTCCTGAGAGTTAACCTTGCCTAGATCCTGATAATGCAGATGAGGGTGGTTCTTCTCAGAAGAAGGCTGTTTGCATCTGCTGTAGCATCCCCTCCAGATGCAAACCTCCACACTAAAGGGCAGCTTTCTGGAGCTGTTGCCACGCCTGCACTTCCCCCAGAAGTGACCACTGTTAGCCATTTCCTGCACCAGAAATTCTCTATTGTGAGCATGTTATACTATACCCGTGTATTTATACATGCATAAATAGGTACTATATGTTTTCCTTAATTTTCACAGAAAAGGAACCCCTTCTGTACAAACTCTTCTGCAAGTGATGTTTTTACTTAGAAAGGTATTTTGAAGAGCTGTCTTTGCAAGGACACTGCCTGCACTCTCCCTCCTCTAACTTTGTTTCTCTCTGTGTGTGTCTCTCCCATCCTTGGCTCTGTTGTATTAACAGGAACCAGGCATGAGAATGGTAAGTATATAGTGCCAAAAGATACACTGTGAACAGGGCATGCCCCCCAGACTCTACACCCACTCATAGAGATTGGCTTTAGTGGGTCCAGGTGTTGTCTTTCCAGAATTTCCCATGCATATTCATATGCATGGAAAGAAAACATGTATCTTTTCATATTTACACAAACCAGACTATAAAATGCACATCATTCGATAAAGTCTACCTGTAGTAATGAATCTTCCCCTTCCTCAGGGCATGCACATGAACCCCAGCATGTACATCTGTGTATGTGTGTATGTAGGGGTGCGTGTACGTAGGGTGTGCATGTATAGAGAGGTGTGTATCTATACACATGTGTGTTTATGTAAGGGTGGGTGTATGTAGCTTTAGCGTACACAGGGGAGTGTGTATAAGCTGTGTGTGTGTACGTGTGTATTTTCAAGTGTGCATGTGAGTGTGTGTCCTGTTCTCCCATCTGGGTGAGCACAGCAGTCTCGCTGCAGACTGCCCTGTCTCACTGCTGCCCCTACAGGTGACTCTCTGCCCCCTTCAGCAAACGAACCTGGGAAAGCCCACCTGCTTCATCTCATTTGGTGATTGAACTCTTTAACCCCTAGGGAAGCATGCAAACCCTTTTTCACAGAAAAGTTATTTTCAAATGAAAAAACAAAAATGCTAAGGATTAGACTTATCTTGAAGTACAGCTATCAAAAGATATATATATTTTTTGCCAGTCATGGTGGCTCATGCCCATAATCCAGCACTCTGGGAGGCTGAGGAGGGTGGATTGCTTGTGTTCAGGAGTTCAAGGCAAGCCTGAGCAAGAGACTGGCCTCTTAAAAATAGCCAGGCATTGTAGTGGGTGCTTGTATTCCCAGCTACTTGGGAGTCTGAGGCAAGAGAATTGTTTAAGCCCAGGAGGCCCCCAAAGTATTAAGATTACAGGTGTATACCACTGTACCTGGCTGAAAATAATTATTTTACCACCCACCAATGACATTCTGAAGTACTGCCTTCCAAAGTTTATGCACATGTACACAAAAAAACAAAACTGTGGTCATACAACCCCCTGCACACATATAAGAACATACATAATAACAACAACATATATATTTATAAATTCTTTTGAGTCCTATTCCCCTCTCAATAGACAGTGAGAATTTCTATACTTCATTGTAAATGGTTGAGTAATATGGTCTATCACATGGAATTAGGAAATTGACTGGAGCTTCCATATTGATTCCCATATAACTGGTCTCCAGATTGCTCTTATTCCCTAGTATTAATGGTATTGCTCGGGATCATCATTGAACTTTGATCACACTTTCTGATTCGTCCTCCAGAATTAATTCTAAGAAGTGAGAGCTTGGGTTGGAACACACCCATGGGTTTCGTCCTCCAGAATTAATTCTAAGAAGTGAGAGCTTGGGTTGGAACACACCCATGGGTTGTTGTTGTTTTGTTTTGTTTTGTTGAGACAGAGTCTCTCTATATCACCCTCGGTAGAGTGCCGTGGCATCTCACCTCACAGCAACGTCCACTGTTGGGCTTAAGTAATTCTCTTGCCTCAGACGCCCAAGTAGCTGGGACTACAGGCACCCTCCACAACACCTGGCTATTTTTTATTGCAGTTGTCATTGTTGTTTTAGCTGGCCCAGGCTGGGTTCGAACCCGCCAGCCTCGGTATATGTGGCTGGCATCATAACCACTGTGCTACACAGTG